CAATAGAACTACTGCAAATGGTGCAAATCATGCAAATTCTAATTTGTATTAATGCAACAATATTGAATCCGATCCATTGTACACTTATGTTTTACAGAAAATACGGACGTCACAAGATGAAATGAAGACATCAGCAGATGAAACTGGACGAACTCCCCCGGAGTAAACATTCGTTTCGAGGTGTCTTTTTCATACATAAGAACTCCTAACAAGAAACATATTCATTACTTATTACAGGAACATAACCCGGCAATAATTAAATCCAGCATATAGCTATCATTACATACATACAGCTGTGCACCCATATGAACACGATTCTGAATATGTTTCTTGTTAGGAGGTCTTATGTATGAAAAAGACACCTCGAAACGAATGTTAACTCCGGGGGAGTTCGTCCAGTTTCATCTGCTGACGTCTTCATTTCATCTTGTGTCATCCTTATTTCTGTAAAACATAAGTGTACAATGGATTGAATTCAATATTGTTGCATTAATACAAATTAGAATGTGCATGATTTGCACTATTTGCAGTAGTTCTATTGTGTTGGTTTATGTCATATTGCAACCCCCTTCATTTGTTGTGATTCTGCGAACTTAGGCAGATTAGGAGAGGGAGGGCAGGGAGGGTTCCCTCAGTGCTTAGTTCTCGTGGCCCTTTCTTACATGCCCAGGGACATGCCGACCGCCAGTTTGAGGGCAGGAAGCCATTTTCCTCCAGGCCAGTTTGGCCGGGGATCCTGGAGGTTTTTCGCCATCTTCTGGGCATAGAGCAGGGGTTTGGGGGGAAGTATTTGTGAATGTCCTGCACTGTGCAGGGGGTTGGACTAGATGATCCTGGAGGTCCCTTCCAACTCTGTGACTCTATGATTCTAACAAAGATCTGTTCCCCTGGAGAAACTGTCAGCTTTAAAGGGTAGACAGTCACTATGGAGTCATATCCCCTTAGGAGGCTTACATCATACACCTCCCCGCCATTTTATCCTCACAACAACCCTGTGAGGTTGACATAAACAAACAAACGTCTCTTTGTACAGGGAAGCACAGGACCCACAAGCAAGATGACACAGAACAACATCTCCAACCCAAGTCCCTCTTCTTCCACCCGTCTTACCGGGCGGCCACCTTGGAAAACGACATTGCCCTGGTGGAGCTGTCCGAGGAGGCCACGGTGAATGATCACGTGATACCCGTATGCTTCCCGGAGGGCCCCCAACCAAAAAGTAAGAATGTTTCCCCCCTTTTCAGACTTTCAGTGCCAGTTCAGGGAAGATGGAACTTACAGAGCAATCCTCCACAAAGCTACTTGTCTAAACCCACTGAAATTAGTGGGCTTAGATTGCAGTGACTGAACAGGATTCTGTTGTACGGGATAAGAACATAAGAGAAGCCAATGTTGGATCAGGCCAATGGCCCATCCAGTCCAACACTCTGTGTCACACAGTGGCCAAAAATACCAGGTGCCATCAGGAGGTCCAGCAATTGAGCCAGGACACTAGAAGCCCTCCCACTGTTGCCCCCCACCAAGCACCAAGAATACAGAGCATCACTTGCCCCAGCCTGTAAGTCCCTATCTATACCTTGTGGCTAATAGCCACTGTGGACCTCTGCTCCAGATGTTTATCCAGTTCCCTCTTGAAGCCGTCCATGCTTCTAGCTGCCGCCACCTCCTGTTGCAGTGAATTCCATGTGTTGATCACTCTTTGGGTGAAGAAGGACTTCCTTTTATCCGTTCTAACCCGACCGCTTAGCAATTTCATGGAGTGCCCACGAGTTCTGGTATTGTGAGAAAGGGAGAAAAGTACCTCTTTCTCAACCTGCTCTATCCCATGCATAATCTTGTAAACCTCGATCATGTCACCCCTCAGCCGTCGTTTCTCCAAGCTAAAGAGCCCCGCGCGATTTAACCTTTCCTCATAGGGAAAGTGTTCCAACCCTTTTATCATCCTAGTTGCCCTTTTCTGCACTTTCCCCAATGTTATAATATCCTTTTTGAGGTGTGGTGCCCAGAACTGCACACAGTATTCCAAATGAGGTCGCACCATCGATTTATACAGGGGCCTTATGATACTGACTGATTTGTTTCCAATTCCCTTCCTAATAATCCCCAGCATAGCATTGGCATTTTTTTTAAAAAAAAAATTATTTTCAATTTCTATCCTGCCTTTCCGGGGGAACTGCAGTCGCACACCATCCCGACGTTTTCAGTAAGTCATCTACTACGACTCAAAGATCATGATGACCATGATATGAAGAGATAACTGATGATATGAAGGGAGAATTCAGGGCTCAGATAAGAAGGAAGGTGTTGCAAATTGAATTTGGCTAAATGTAGACACCCTGGCCCAGGCTAGATGGATCTCATTAGATCTCAGCAGGGGTCGTTTCGTAGAAAAAGAGCTAGGGGGACTCATTAGCATAACTCATTAGCACAGGCCACACCCCCTGACATCACCGGAAGTGTGTCATAAGGCCACACCCCCTGACATCACCGGAAGTGTGTCATAAGGCCACACCCCCTGACATCACCGGAAGTGTGTCATAAGGCCACACCCCCTGACATCACCGGAAGTGTGTCATAAGGCCACACCCCCCGCCCCCAACGGTCCCGGCCGCCGCTGCCGGCCTTGCAGCTCCACTGCCGAGCCCCATGAGGGGCCCGGCGGTGGACCTGCAAGGCCGGCGGGAGTGCAAGGAAGCCCCGCGGAGGCCCTCCCTGGCCCCAGGCAGGCAGGAGTGGGGAGAGGCAGGGAGGAAGCAACTTACCCTCCCTCTTCTTACCCTCCTCCTGGCTGAATGAGGGCCGGAAGCGGGGCGGCCAGAAGCAGGGGGCAGGGCTTCGTCATGTGCCCCGCCCCCCGTACCTCACCCGGGGGAACTGCGATCCCCCGCGATCCCCCCCGAAATGACCTCTGGATCTCAGAAGCAAAGGAGGGTTAGCCCCGGTTACTACTTGGCTGGGAGACCACCAAGGAACTCCAGGGTTGCTATACAGAGGAAAGCAATGAGCAAATTAGGCCTCTGAATGTCTTTCGCCCTGACCTGGATGGTCTAGGCTACCCTGATCTCATCAGATCTTGGAAGCTAAGCCGGGTCAGTACTTGGATGGGAGCAGGGCTTTTTTTGTAGAAAAAGCCCAGCAGGAACTCAGGAATTCATTAGCATATTAGGCCACACCCCTGACAGCACAGCTCGTTCGCCTATTAGGCCACACCCCCACGTTACCAGAAGTGTGCTCATCCAGCCACACCCACCTTTTGCTTCTTATTCTCTTTGCCTTGTTTGTGGTCAAAACCCAGGGCTTTTTGCATGTTAGGCCCCACGCCCCTAATTGTAGCCAATCCGAATGAGTCCCTGCTGCTGGGTGTGGCCTGTTATGCTAATGAGTTCCTGCTGGGCGTGGCCAACTCGGGAGCCAGCCGGAACTCCGTTCCTGTGCGTTCCTGCCCAAAAATAGCCCTGGATGGGAGACCCCCGAGGGGAGTCGAGGGTTGTCCCACCGGGGTATCATAGAGTTTCCAGCAATTTCTACAGCTACCACTTCACTTCTGAGTAGCTCCAGGAATCACCAGCAACTCTATGGTAAGTATTTTCCATAAGTAGATGAGGCCGTTTTTGTTCTGTTTAAATTTCTTCTCTTGGGATGCTGGCTGGCGGTCTTCTTTGCCTTATCCAGGTGTGCTGGATCCCCACACATATGGTTACCAACCTCCAGACGGGGCCCAGAGATCTCCCAGAATTACATCTCATCTCCAGACAACATAGAGCAATCCCCCTGGAGAAAATGGCTGCTTTGAAGGGTGGACTCTAGGGCATGTTACCCCACCGATGCCCCTCCCCTCCCCAAATCCCACCCTCCCCAGGCTCCACCCCCAAATCTCCAGAAATTTCCCAACACAGAGTTGGCAACTTCACAGCCTCCTTCCTCCTCAGGGTCAAGCAGGTCTCTTCGAGGGTTTCCAGCTCTGGGTTGGGAAATTCCAGGAGATTTTGTGGGCTGGAGCCTGGGGAAGGCGGGATTTGGGTAGGGACTGGACCAGTGTTTCCTCTAAGCTGAGTTAGTGCGAGCTAGCTCCCAATTTTTTAGCCTCCGACTCACACACAGATTTCTGTCTCGGCTCAGGAAGGGACAGCTCCAGAGCAGACTAATTCACGCAGGAGCCAAATCACCCGCTCCCAACTTTAATGCCAGTAGCTCACGAAGTAGAATTTTTTGCTCACAAGACGCCACAGCTTAGACGGAGCGTTGGACTGGACCTCACCAAGGTATAATGGCACAGAGTCCACCCTTCAAAGCAGCCATTTTCCCCCGTGGTCTAGAGATCTGCAGTCTGATCTTCATCATCTGGAGTCATCATGTGCAATTCCTCGTGTCTTCCCTTAAACCGATGTGATGGTCTCTTTCTTCCCGCTAGATGCCATGGTTATCGTCAGCGGATGGGGAAAGCAGTTCCTGCAACGTCTCCCGGATTCCTTGATGGAGGTGGGACCAGCGTTTATTCTCCCAAGGGAGTGTGGTCTTCTTAAAAAGTAAAGGTAAAGGTTTCCCTTGCTCGAAAGCCAGTCGAATCTGACTCTAGGGTTGCGGTACTCATCTCCGTTTCAAAGCCGAAGAGCCAGCGCTGTCCGAAGACGTTTCCGTGGTCATGTGGCCGGCATGACTAAACACCAAGGCGCACAGAACGCTGTTCCCTTCCCACCGAAGTGATACCTGTTTATCTACTTGCAATTTCTTGCTTTCGAACTGCTAGGTTGGCAGGAGCTGGAACTAGAGACGGGAGCTACCTCCGTCATGCGGCACACTCGGGTCTCGAACTGCTGAACTACTGACCTTCCACAGCCTGCAGTTCAGTGTCTTACCCACTTGAGCCACCGCAGCTCCTAAGAAGAAGTGTTCTTCTTAGGATGAAGGAAAGAGAGGAAGCTTATCCACGGGGCCCTGTGGAAATCTTTTGACAGTCTCCTTTAGAATAGAGTCACAGGGTTGGACGGGGCCCTGCGGGCCATCTCGTCCCACACCCTGCTCACAGCAGGATCAGCCCAGAGCAGTGTTTCCTCTAAGCTGAGTTAGTGCGAGCCAGCTCACCGTTTTTTAGCCTCCGGCTCACACATTTTTGCCTTTGCTCAGGAAGGAGGGCTCCAAAGCAAACTGATTTATGTAGCGGCCAAATGGCTCGCTCACAGCTTGAATGCCAATAGCTCACAAAGTAGGATTTTTGCTCACAAGACTACACAGCTTAGAGGGAGCATTGGCCTAGAGTATCCCTGACAAGTGTTTGTCCAGACGCTCACCACCTCCCCAGGCAGCCCATTCCACTGCTGAACACCTCTGACTGTCAAAATGTTTTCCCTAAGACCCTTCCCGCCCTGAATTTAAACCCATTCTTGCGAGTCCTCTCCTCTGCTGCCAACAGGAACAACTCCCTGCCCTTCTTCAAATCCTTCAAGAGAGCAATCCTGTCCCCCCTCCACCTCCTCTTCTCCAGACTAAACATTCTCCAGACTAAACATTCCTCAGCCTTTCCTCATCGGGTTTGGTCTCCAGGCCCCCGATCATCCTCGTCGCTCTCCTCTGCACCCGCTCCACTCTGTCCACATCCTTTCTGAAGGGAGGCCTCCAGAACTGTGAAACCGGTTTAGGTCTGTGGTGTAGACGTTCCCTCAGAGGCAGGAGGTATCGCGCCATCTGAGGCCCGTTTACCTCAGTCGGTCAACCCACCAAGCACCCTTTTTTGTCCCACAGATCGAGATTCCGCTGACGGATCATGTCGTGTGCCAGGAAGCTTATGCCAGGCTTCAGAAGGTCATCACAGAAGATATGATCTGTGCTGGAGAAAGAGAAGGTAGGGCCAGGGCAGAAGCGGGGAGGGGCCGTGGCTCAGTGGCAGAGCATCTGTTTTGCACACAGAAGGTCCCAGGTTCAATCCCCGGCATCTCCAGTTAAAAGGACCGAGTGGTGGGTGATGCGAAAGACCTCAGCCTGAGACCCTGGAGAGCTGTAAGGAGGGGCTGTGGCTCAGTGGAAGAGCCTCTGCCTGGCATGCAGGAGGTCCCAGGTTCAGTCCCCGGCATCTCCAGTTAAAAGGACCAGGCAGGAGGTGATGGGAAAGACCTCAGCCTGAGACCCTGGAGAGCTGTAAGGAGGGGCTGTGGCTCAGTGGAAGAGCCTCTGCTAGATATGTAGAAGGTCCCAGGTTCAGTCCCCGGCATCTCCAGTCAAAAAGGACCAGGCAGTAGTTGTTGTGAAAGTCCTCTGCCTGAGACCCTGGAGAGCCCCTGCCAGTAAAAGTAGATAACATTGATGGACCAATGGTATGATTCAGTAGAAGGCAGCTTCATGGGAAGGGGCTGTGGCTCAGTGGCAGAGCCTCTGCTTGGCATGCAGAAGGCCCGAGGTTCAATCCCCGGCATCTCCAGTTGAAAAGGACCAGGCAGGAGGTGATGGGAAAGACCTCAGCCTGAGACCCTGGAGAGCTGTCAAGAGGGGCTGTGGCTCAGTGGCAGAGCCTCTGCTTGGCATGCAGAAGGCCCGAGGTTCAATCCCCGGCATCTCCAGTTAAAAGGATCAGTTAAGAGATGACGTGAAAGATCTCTGCCTAAGACACCCTGGAGAGCTGCTGCCAGTCAGAGGAGACAATAATTATTATTATCATCATATGACCTTATGTGCAAAATAGTCAGGAGATCCTAAGATTATCTGGCAGCTAGAATTTCTTGCTCTTTAGCATTATGCACCCCTAGGTGGCGAGCTAGGCTTGTTTTTAAGACAAGAGCCATTTCAGAGACGGTTTGCCATGGCCTGCCTCTGCATCATGACCCTGGTATTCCTTGGAGGTCGCCCTTCCAAAGACTAGCCAGGGCTGCCCCAGTTTAGCTTCCGAGATCTGATGGGATCGGGCTAGCCTGGGCTATCCAGGTCAGACAAGAGGAGGCAAGACTGTCCTTTGTGGACCAATGATGTAATTCAGCATTATTGGGATATTTGGTTAATATAACAGAGTTTTGCTCCGCATTGCAAGACTAGATCTAATGAGTGGGAATTACAAGGGAGTCGTTACTGGCTAAATATCAGGAGAAACTTCCTAACTGTCAGAGTGGTTGAGCTGTGGAACGGACAGCCTCGGGAGGGGGTGGATGTTCCTTCGCTGGACGTTTTCAGGCGGAGGCTGGACGACCATCTTCCGGGTATGTTGTAGGGCTCTCTTTCGGCTCTGCACCTGCAGAGGGCAGGGGGTTGGACTAGATGACCTGCAAGGTCCCTTCCAACTCTAACATTCTACTCTAACATTCCAACTCTAACGCCATCTGTCACCAGGGCCAGGGTGTTCTCGGTGGTGGCTCCTACCTGGTGGAACGAGCTCCCGGAGGAGCTCTGGGACCACTTTGTCATGTCTGACCCCATCTGTTATTTCTGCCATCTAGGGCACTTGTATTTTATAGGAATTATCGTTTTATTGCTTGTTTTATTCTGTTTTTAACCTGTGGGATTTTGGCATACGTGCCCATCTGTTAGTCGCCCTGAACCCATCTGGGGAGGGCGGGGTATAAATTTAACAATAAATAAATAAATATGATTCTATGATACCAATTTATGTTTGCTCCGGAGCTCATCCCTTTCCTGAGCGAAGACAAAAAAAAATGTGTGAGCCAGAGGCTAAAAAAACTGAGCTGGCTCACACTAACTCAGCTTAGAGGGAACACTGGGAAAGGAAGTAGGCCGTTCTCACTTCCTAGAAATAGCTGGGTTTGTAAGATCAGACGACCTGAAGAACTGGTTATGAAAGGACAGTACTATCCGGAACTTGTGCTGATGAGTTATGCTGGTTTATGGAACCCCAGCTTGGATTGATAGGAGCTTATTATTTAGAGCACCGGCACTTTGTTTGTGATTGACTGTTTTAGTCTGTTTTTAGCTGTTGAATCACGGCACATGCCTCTTTGTTAGTCGCCCTGAGCCCTTTGGGGAGGGCGGGATATAAATTTAATAAATAAATGTTTGGAGATTCCGAGTAGAATATTGCAGCTTGTGGAAACTGAAAGGTGGCCAAGCATCGCTGGCTCTTCCTTTTGTCCCCTAGGAGGAAAAGACGCCTGTAGTGGAGACTCCGGGGGCCCGATGGTCACTCTGAACAACCAGACCGGAGAATGGCAGCTGATCGGCACCGTGTCTTGGGGTGACGGGTGCGGCTTGGGCGACCGCTACGGGGTGTATTCCAACGTGTTCCTGAGCCTGCCCTGGATTAAGCAGGTCACCGGAGTGGAATATTGAATACTGAAATCTCCCAGCGACGTCCAGCGTGAGAAGGACCCCTGCCGGTGGAATGGTCAACCCCATCTCTCACTTTGACCTCTTCCCAGGACGGCCCTTGGCATTCGGTTGGGATAAACTTGGTTCATTCGTTCACGGAGAGAGGCAAGACCTGGCCTGGTTCTTCCTCTCCACTGAACTGGACTCAGTTCCAAGAACCTGGACCTGACCTGATGCAGACAGCTCAGAGATAACTTTGACATACGTCAGTCTGGTAGATTTGAGTCAAGGTGATTCGGACCGCTTCTGACAGGAAGATTAACAAAAAAACCCTTCAAGCATCGCACACTTCTGCAGGCCACTGATGTCTTTAGAAGGATGGGGGCTCAGATAGCATTGAGAAAGATAATAACCCTTTATCTGCCTGTAAAATGCATGTTCACAGAGCCTTAATTTGCCTTGGAGCCATGCGGGGAGGGGGGGAGAGGAGGGTTAACCCTTTAGCCTCCACTTGGTTGCAGAAATCAAAACCAATTCACCCACTGCACGATTAGTATTTTAAAGAGGAAGTTAAAGGTAAAGGTAAAGGTTCCCTTGCTCGAAAGCCAGTCGAATCCGACTCTAGGGTTGCGGTGCTCATCTCCGTTTCAAAGCCGAAGAGCCAGCGCTGTCTGAAGACGTTTCCGTAGTCATGTAGCCGGCATGACTAAACACCAAGGCGCACGGAACGCTGTTACCTTCCCACCGAAGTGGTACCTATTTATCTACTTGCAATATCTTCCTTTCGAACTGCTAGGTTGGCAGGAGCTGGGACCAGAGACGGGAGCTCACTCCGTCATGCGGCACTCAGGTCTCGAACGGCTGAACCACCAACCTTCCACAGCCTGCAGTTCAGCGTCTTAACCACTTGAGCCACCGCATCCTTTAAAAACAGGGGTTTTTTTCCGTTTAACACACCAACACTAAAACAGTGAAGTTGGGTTCAAATAGCAATACCAAGTGGAGGGTGTAGAGTTAAAACCCCTCCTCACTTTCATGCATGGCCAGAGGCAAACTGAGGCTACGCAAACCTGCATTTGGCATGTTATTTTGCGTCCTTTTTTAGGTCTTAGTAAATTAGAGCCACTTTGGTGTAGTGGTTAGGAATGTGGACTTTAATCTGGGAGAACCGGGTTTGATTCCCCACTCCTCCACATGCAGCTGCTGGTGTGACCTTGGGTCACTCACAAGTTCTCTCAGAGCTGTTCTTCCAGGAGAGCCAGTTTGGTGTAGTGGTTAAGTGCGCGGACTCTAATCTGGGAGAACCGGGTTTGATTCCCCACTCCTCCACTCGCACCTGGCTGGATGACCTTGGGCAAGCCATAGTTCTGATAACAGCTGCTCTTGAAAAAAGAGCAGTTTCTGTCAAGAGCTCTCTCAGCCCCACCTACCTCACCGGGTGTCTGTTGTGGGGAGGGGAAGGGGAAGGAGTTTGTAAGCCGCTCTGAGACTCCTCTGGGTAGTGAAGGGCGGGGTATAAATCCAAACTCTTCTCTTCTTCTTCAGGAGCTGTTCTGGAAAGAGCTCTCTCAGCCCCACCTACCTCACAGGGTGTCTGTTGTGGGAGGGGAAAGGAAAGGAGATCGTAAGGTGCTCTGAGATTCCTTTGGGTAGTGAAGTGCCGGGGAATAAATCCATTCTCCTCCTCCTCCTCCTCTTCTTAAATACAATCTCATCCTCCTCTTCTTCTCCTTCTTCTGGATAAGAAATCTCAGGGGAAATTCAGTGCAATGACTACTTGACACAGTTGTAGGATTGGGACGGGGGGGGGCATAGCCCTCGGGACACCGTGGCATGACATGTTCATTCCCTGGTACCTCCAGCAAGAAAGAACTCAAACAGAAGGACTAAGAAAGATTCCGCTTGGGGGACTGGGCCGCTACTGCCCGTTAGTGCAGAGATTCTTGAACTAATCCAGCATACGCCTAAAATAAATTAGTGTGTCTCAGGAAGCGATTAGTGGGATTGGACCGGCAAGGCCACACACCCCACCCCCAGGGTACAAACCTCCAGTTGAGCATCTGCTTGGAGACGAGGGATGTAGAGTCCCCTGTTGGAATTTCCCAGCTCAGATCTGGCAACGCTACTGGCAGGATTGCCACGTTCTTCCAAAGGTCGCGCCTCCCTTTGCCCCGTTTCCATCGGTCAATTTCCCACTCAAAGCCGCGCGGCCGCATTTTGACCCGCGGCTTTGCCCGATTTCCCCCGCAGTTTTGTGATCCTCAAAAAAACAGGATCATGAAACCGTAGGAAAAATCGGGCAAAGCCGCGAGTCAAAATGCGGCCACGCGGCTTCGAGTGGGAAATTGACCGATGGAAACGGGGCAAAGGGAGGCGCGGCGGCGGCGCAGCTCCTTGTGCGAAAGCAGCCCCAGGTTCGAATTCCGCACTCGTGCCGTGGAAACTTGCTGGGAGACCTTGGGTTAGTCGTACACTCTCAGTCTAGCCTACCTCACAGGGCTGTTGTGAGGATAAAATGGCGAAGGGAATGATGTAAGCTGCTTTGGGTCCCCATTAGGGGGAAAAGGCAGGGCATAAATGAATAAATAAAATAATAAAGTACAGAACAAAAGATAGAAGGTGCCTTACTTTAGCCTTGGGGCTTGCCAGGCTCTGCTTTTAGGTCCACAGGAGAACCAAGAAGAGGACAGGTCACTTGAGATTACTGTGCTGTTTATTAAGGTTTCACAAGATGTTACAGGCAGGGTGGTGCTTATACAACAATGCAAAATCTTCTGAACACTGGGAATCTCCAAAGGCCATCTTGAGATGTCACTCCATGGGCCTAATTGTTGGTCACCAGTGTGTCCCTCTAAGCTGAGTGAGTGTGAGCCAGCTCACAGTTTTTTAGCCTCCAGCTCACACGTTTGTCTTAGCTCAGGTAGGATGGCTCCAGAGCAAACGAATTGATGCAGCACCCTAATTGCTCGCTCGTAACATTAGTGCCAGTAGCTCACAAAGAAGAATTTTTGCTCACAAGACTCCACAACTTAGAGGGAGCATTGGTCCCGAGCAGTGTTCCCGCTAAGCTGAGTTAGTGTGAGCCAGCTCACAGTTTTTTACTCTCCGGGTCACACATTTTAGTCTCCGCTCAGGCAGGATGGCTCCAGAGCAAACTAAGCTATGCAGCAGCCCAATCGCTCGCTCACAACTTGAATGCCAGAAGCTCACAAAGTAGCATTTTTGCTCACAAGACTCCACAGCTTAGAGGGAGCATTCTTCACACATAGGGCTGCCAACCTCCAGGTGGTGCCGTCTCCGCTCAGGCAGGATGGCTCCAGAGCAAACTAAGCTATGCAGCAGCCCAATCGCTCGCTCACAACTTGAATGCCAGAAGCTCACAAAGTAGCATTTTTGCTCACAAGACTCCACAGCTTAGAGGGAGCATTCTTCACACATAGGGCTGCCAACCTCCAGGTGGTGCCTGGAGACCTCTCAGAATTAGAATTCATAGCGAGATGACAGAGATCAGTCCCTCTGCAGAAAATGGCTGCTTTGAAGGGCGAACTCTATGGAATTATACCCCACTGAGGTCTCGCCCCAACCTTCCACAGGCTCACCCCCAAAATCTCCAGGTATTTCCCAACCCAGTGCTGGTGGTAACCCTAGTCACACATCTGCTGTGTTACCCATCAACCAGCAAGGTCTAGGCTGCTGATGACGCCATTACATCATTTCCAGGGTAAACCCAGAAGTGATGTCGTGCCACTCTAGGAATCGTGGAGACTCTATAATTTTGTTATAGAGTCTCCATTGATTCCTAGAGAGGTGTAACATCACTTCTGGGTCCCCCCCCCCAAGTGATAGCACACCATTGCTCAACAGCACCCCCCTGTTCTCACTCCCATGGATTTCCACCTGTTGCAAACATCTGGCTGGAAACCCTACAACATCCAAGGACCTGGAGACTTGCCTAGCTTTCTAAAAGTTGCAGTGACCTAATGACTGCAGACATAAGCACCGGTCCTTGGCAGTGTTCCCTCTAAGCTAAGTTAGTGTGAGCCAGCTCACAGTTTTTTAGCCTCTGGTCTCACACATTTTTGTCTCAGCTCGGGAAGGATGGCTCCAGAGCAAATTAATTTATGCAGCAGCCTAATCGCTCGCTCACAACCTTAATGCCAGTCGCTCACAAAGTAGAATTTTTGCTCACAAGACTCCACAGCTTAGAGGGAGCATTGGGATGCCTTCCCCCAGGCAAGCTGGTTTCTGCCTTCATCGTTATCTCTGATGATGCATTAATTAGCTGAGAAACTGGCAGTGCAGACCTGAAGCCTGTAATAGAGTGAAAGAGGTCAGACAGAGGGCATTCATGGGGTTCAGTAAAGATCCACTTGTCTGTTGCCGTATGGTACAGACAGAAAGATGGATAGCTTTCCAGTTGTATTTGCAAAATCCAACCATCTCTGTCTGATCCACCTGCTGCCTTCACCCATTCTTTTTGAAACAAACAAATAAGGAAAGGTATATATGGTGGGTGGGACCTGACCAGTGTTCCCCCTAAGCTAAGTTAGTGTGAGCTAGTTCACGGTTTTTTAGCCTCCAGCTCACACATTTTTGTCTTAGCTCAGGAAGGAGGGCTCACAACTTTAATGCCAGCAGCTCACAAAGTAGAATTTTTGCTCACAAGATTCTACAGCTTAGAGGGAGTGTTGGACCTCACATATGACTGCCAAACACCCTCCCCCCGGTCTAGAATCTCCTGCCCCAAATTCCATGCCATGCCATGGCGACAGGTGGCGAGATTAAAAATGTATATAAATAAAATATTTAAAGCGTTTTAAAAGTCACCAGCGTCACCTAGACAATCACACCACTTCCGGGGAACACCCAGAAGTCGGGATGCCAGCCTCCAGGTGGGACCTGGTGATCCCCAGAATTGCAGCTCATCTTCAGACTACAGAGACCAGCTCCCGTGGAGAAAAGGGAGGCTTTGGAGGGTAGACTTTGCGGCATTGTGCCCCACTGAGGTCCCTGTCCTCCCC